TTGTTAACCAATGTCATAAAACAACATGTGTACTACTGTTTCATGAGAAACTATTTGTTCTGTAAGCCTTCACCTGAAGTACAATAAAATACATATATATATGAAAAAGTAGTTAACTGTATTGGGGCTTGGTAAATTATGTCAGAATCTGCTCAAACGTTTTGAGTTATGATTGGCAAGGCTACAGTAGTAAAATCAGAGTGAAGTGAATCTCCCTCCCCCTTCTCCTGTGCTGGCCAGGAAAATCTGCTCAATTCTGTACATTCTGTACTTGGAGCTTGAATAAGCATACCAGTTCTGAGAACTTCAGAAATAAGGGCAGTACACTAACTGCTTTTAGTACTGAGAGGATTTCTCAGACCCAACTGTTTTAATGTACTTATACCAAATACTAAAAAGCTAAAAAACAAAACTTTTCCCAACACATGTGAGCCACAAAAATTTTTTTCCAGGTGCACTTTATCTTGGTTTTCTACTTACCAATATATTTCACATACTCTTGAACCACATCTGTGTGTTTTAAAAAAACAACAAAAAATATGGGAAAGTACAGTTCCGAAGAAATCTCACTTGGTTCATTTCACCCTCTACTACATAATGTTTCACTGCTCACAGCATGGGAAGTACCTCTTCAAAAACTATCAAGTTTTACATTGCAAATTAAAGGTCTGTTTGTCTGACAAGCCTACTACTCTATAACTAAATAAATCAAGCAGGAAATCTTTTTTTTCTAATTTTCAAGAAAAGATTTTAATGTCACATATACCAAAAAAAACCTAAACCCATTGTCGTCGAGTCGATTCCGACTCATAGCAACCCTATAGGACAGAGTAGAACTGCCCCCCAGTTTCCAAGCAGCGCCTAGCACATTCACGCTGCTGGCCTTTGGGTTAGGAGCCGCCGCTGTAGCACTTAACCACTATACCACCAGGGTTTCCAGTGTCACACATAGGAACACATTAAAGAAGGGAGTATCATCAGTAAAGTAAATTCCTTACTAGGTCTGACGCAAGCTGTGTGGGAGTTTAATATGAACTTTTTCTTTTCTGGATCCCGGGTAGCACAGTGCTTAAGAGTTCAGGCTGCTAACCAAAATGTCAGCAGTTCAAATCCACCAGCCGGTCATTGGGAACCCTATGGGGCAGTTCTACTCTGTCCTATAGGGTTGCTATGAGTCGGAATCGACTGAACGGCAACAGGTTTGGTATTTTTGGTTTTTCTATTCTATAACTAGGAGATTTAAGAAAGAAAAAAAAAAGCTAGGAAGAATAAAAAAATGAAGAATAAAGGCACTTGACTGTGTCGATGAGTAGTTACTTTTGATTAGGCCAGAGTTCAATTGGTTGCCGGGGCTGGGAGCACATGTTTAATTCACAGATAGGTACCTCCACCATCACCACCACACAGTGCCATCAAGTCGATTCCGACTCATAGAGACTTTATAGGACAGAGTAGAACCGTCCCATAGGGTTTCCAAGGCTGTAAATCTTTACAGAAGCAGACCATCACATCTTTTTCCTGCATAGCGGCTGGTGGGTTCCAACTGCCAACATTTCGGTTAGCAGCTGAGCGCTTTTAACCACTGTGCCACCAGGGCTCTATAGATAGGTACAGGATTATAAAATGAGCTAAAAGATTTTAACAAAGTAATTCAGATTTCTTGGTTATAAAGCAAAACAGGTTTCATGCAGATAACTAAGGAACCAATTCATTTCCACTGCATAAAATAAGTACGGTTAATAGTCTCTAACAGAGTTATGACTAATTTTCAAAATTCTTTTAACTTAACACCAAAATGTTCTAAAGCAAGCACCATGCTCGACGCAGGAATGAAGGAGCCATAACCAGCAATCCCTACAGAAATGGAAAGTCTAGTGGGAAAGTTGGATGGAAGTACTAGAATACTCAGGAAATGATTCACAGACCTGTGCTCCAAAGCTGAGTACGATTTCAACAGGCTAGGAAGACAAAGAAACGCAGTCAGGCAGGGAGAACATGATAAACACAGGCGTGAAGACAGAAGCACGCACATACATGGTCTTTGAAGAGCCAGGTCACCAGCATGATTCAATTGTGGAATTGGGAAGTGAAGGAGGAGAATGGGCATTAGTATTTAGGTAACAGAGAACTATGCAAGGTCTTCAAACAGGAGAGATGTGATCAGATCTGTGTGCTTTTTATTTTTTGTTTCTTTCTGCTTACACACAAAGGATGAGTCTAGTCCCCTCGGCAGATATATTTCACACTTTAAATTAACAGACTGGCATCCTGGTTTCACATGTCAGCTTCCTAAATTTGCTAGAAGTCTTTTACTGAAAAGTAAACTCATTTGCAGTGTGTTAATCCATCAGACGACTAAGGGTAATATTTGGATGGTGGCGAATTCACTAAGGCAATGCAATACTGCAGACCTGACTGGGTGATCAGTTTGCCTTGCCCAGGTGACACATCAGTGTCATTGTGCAGTTTCTTGACATTTCTACAGAATGGAGATCAGGAAGATTAGTTCAATAATCCAAGGAAGAGATGAAGAACAGAATTAGAGCAGTGGCCTTTTGCAGGCTGAGAATTTACAACAGATTTCATTGTAGGAGTGAGGGATGGGCAGATTATTACTCAGTGGGTGAAAGAACAGATAGCAATAATACCACTAAGAGATAGAACAAAGAAAGGGCAGGTCCAAGTTGGGAAAAAGAGAAAATTTACTGTGGATATGTTGCATTTAAGGTGTCAACAAAATAGTCATATGGAAATATCCAAAAGGCAGTTGAAAATATGACTTGGAATGAGGCTCAGTAAAGAGGTCAAATTCTGTTAATAGAATAAAATCACCTAGAAAGGGAGTTCTGAGGGGAAAAAAAAAAAGAACTAAGAACAGAATCTTGGGTAAAGTCCTTATGGGTTCAAGCAATACCATAAAACACAGAAACATTTTCTCTTAAAATGAAACAAGTAATGCCAAGTCAGCTTGTACACAGATGCTTTATTTTGGATGTTCATATTTACCAGCATTGTATGCAAGAGTCTCTTACGATAGTTTTCCCAATACACCAAAAAACTCAATTTAGTCAGGGTAATTGCTGTATGAATGTGAAAACCTTATAACAACATGGAGTATTAAATGTGTGTAGTCAGTTCGCATGCAAGTATGGCTGCTACATGTATGTCTGGCACTTTTACAACATACTGAAAGAAATTCAAATGAACGTAACAGTATAAAGGTGACTGAAGATGCCTGACAAGTTTAAGACTAAAAATCTTCCTGCAAAACACAACAACGCAGTTAACTGGAGGATTCAACCAATACCAATCTGAATATGTGCTATGTCCAATAAGCCCAGGGTTATACTCAATACATCAAATTGGGGATAATTTAATGCTCAAGAAAAATTATGCTTTAAAAAATATAGCTCTTCCAACGTATTATACTTGGGTGACTAGAGATTGCATACGTCCAAACCAGCTGAGGGCTTCATTTAAAAAAAAAACCATTACCGTATTTTTATGCAGATAACACGCAATTTCTGCGCCTGTGAGGGTGCCTGGGAGAGGAGGGCGTGGCCAGCAAACAAACGCGGAAGGTGTGCATTATTTTCATAAAAATATGGTATATGCTATTAGTTCAAGGTAACTGAAATGATCTAGTATGATTTCGCTACAATCATTTGTTTTTACAAACTGAGATTTCTGCGAGAAGTTCATTAATTAGGAAGCAATCAATATACTAAGAAGATTCAAACTGCTTTATCTGTTATCAACAAGGCATAATCTTAGTACCATACATTTTCTTCACTTCTCACTACATATAATATGCAAAAACTAGCAAGTGGATTTAAACAGCTTAAAGCCCTTTTAGGTCTAATGCTCAAAAGCTAGGCATTAAAATACTTGGTATTTCAATTTCTAGTAACATAAAAACAGATCAGAAAATCTTAAGCTGCATTTGTTTTGTTTTTTAAGGCTTCTGTTTTTAAAGGTTTGGTATTGGTAAGAATTGGCCTGGTAATGGTTGATCCCGTTCAGTCCACTTGAGAACATGCCATCATTTTGCCTTTTACCTCTTCACACAGTGCAAGTGGTGGGTGCTCTTTCCTTCTCTCATAGCAGCAAGCTGATTCTGCTATTTCTATAGCAGCATACTTCAGGAGTGGAGAGGGAGAGAGTGTGTCAATTATAAATAATTAAAACTACAGTGTACAATTTTATTTACCTGTCAGTGTTTAAGGTGACAGCATACCATTATATGTCTCAAAAAATTACATAAAATCTACACAAAAGCAAAATAAAAGACATTCTTTCAAGAAAAAGTAAGTGCAAACACCTAAAACAGGCAACTGAAGCAACTGTTGTAACCTGTAGAGAAACACAAAACATTTATAAAAGGACAAATTTTTTTATAAATAAAAGTTAATGTTCTCTACTTCTGAAACATTGAGTAAATATAATAAACTTCTAAGTGCAGACTGTTTTTAGGGACCAAGGTACCATATTATTTTTTAAACAAATAAAATGCAAAAATTTAAAACACATATACAAATCACCAGATTAATTTATATGACCCCCCCAATATAATTTAAAAAGAAAATATTAAATTATTATTTAGCACATTTTTAGAACTACTTTATAACCAACATGATTTAAAGGGCATAGTGCAATATTTAGGTAGATGTGACATACAGTATAGATATTGTATTCTTTGCAGCTATAACTTACTACTGTTTCATACTTAAAGGTCAAAATTGTTCTTTACTATGTTAGCTGTAATGACAGGAAACAACACTGGCTTCTAGACACCCTATATATATATAAATATCTACATTTAAGCTTTAAAAATGAAAATAAATTATAAAAACAGACTTCTTTCCAATTTACAAAGTTTTCCAGCTCCTACATACTGTACAATACATTCAACAAAACTCTCAGCTCTTCTGAGATTTATGAAGAAAATACTGACTCCTTACTAATAAGGAAAAAACCCTTTTCAATGCTTTTTATTTTTAGTACCATGCTCAAAGAAATACATTTAACACTGTAGTTAATTTTACTGTTTTTGAAAAATACCAAAAATTAGTAGTGCAACTTCCTATCCTTCCTTTAAATTCCTTTTCACTGTGTTTCTCTGTAGATGTCAGCCTAAGTAAATCAGCACACCGGCAGAAGTACTTCATAAAATCATGAATGCTTTCCATACAGAAACTAGTCTCAGAAATCATGACATATTACAATAAAACTGCAGCATCAAGAGAGTAGCAACATGTATCTTGTGAAGAAAATATGTGAAAGTTTACTCTTAGAAAATCTATGAACATTCTAGTATTATTTTCCCTGTCTTGTTCTTTAAAAACAAATTTTAAAAATATCATCTCTTAAAAAATAACCTATGAGATTTCCTTCCCCTTACTTAAGTGGCTTAGCTTTTTGCCTGCCCAATATAAAAAAGTATGCAAACCGTTTTAGGCCTGTATTAAAACGTTAAAAACAATTAATTGACAAAAATTTCATTGCAACCTAATTTAGTGTAGAATACAGTAGGGAAGTCGGGCATTTCACCAGTCCTGGTAACAATTACAGTATTAGAGCTCGTGAAGTGCTGCTGGTGGCCGTGTAAGTGCTCAGGTATTTTCTGGCTTGCTCAGTCATGATAAGTTGGTCTTCTGTCTTCCCATAAACCACCGTTTCCCACTCACAATTTGACTAGGAAGAAAATATTAATAGTGACGTGAAAATTACTATAATAACTATCTATACAACTTCACAATAGACTTTTAAAAGTCTATTATTTTTGGCTATCTCTACTGCTCACAGGCCTCTGGAGGCAGTTTAAAAGTGTTGTCCCCAACATACAGCTCCTAAATCAAATGAGTAAGTCTCGATGTGGAAAAAAACGTCAGCCTTTATTGCTTCCACATTCTTGCAGAAAGATTTACAGAGAGGATGAAATGTCAAAAATGATGTGACAATCAGTGCTTTATGTCTTGCAAATTAGGAAATGTATTCATAACACAAAATCAAGGTTATGTTTGTTTGTTTTATTCCCTTATCAAGGTGTATAGGTCATTACAGTATAGATAAGACCTGCTATGCAATACATTTTCCTGAAAAGTTCTGTGTTGATTAAATACTAGGAACTCAAATCATTTTAAATGGATTAAGAGGGGATACTCTTTGAAGAGCAGTGGCTAAAGCCAGAGGTGAGTAAGCCATCTCTGACTGGCAAAGATGCTTTCACGGAATGCTTACATGTCAGGAATGCTAGTGCTGAACTCAACTGTGGTATAAAGAAGAAAACCTCCCCCTCAATGAACTCTCAAATTCTCTGGGGTAAACTCATAATATAGTGAAAAATTTTCCAGCTTTCATTTGCAGCTACATACTGGCTGCACAACAGCTAGAAAAAGAATTTTGTTTTATAAGTTCTGAGCCAAAAAGTTCACTGGGGACATTATACCAACAAAATCATGCTGAAACTGCTTCCAACCACTTACCCTTTCATGATAGCAAATTAGGGCTATACATATTTGTTATAGGAGAAGAGGTGCCAGAAAGTGGATTTAGGTTTTAAAAAGCTTAATAGTGCTTAAGAAAATCACTAGCAGAGATTTTGGCTACAATTCCGATTAGTTTATATGTTCCCTGAGGAACTAGTCTCTCAAAAATCCAAATCTAGTTTCGGTAACAAAATAATGGTGAATGTTTAGTAATTGTTACAGTCAATTTCAAGGAGCCCTGGTGGCACAGTGGTTAAGCACTGGGCTGCTAACCGAAAGGCAGTCTGCTTCTGTAAAGATTTACAACCTTGGAAACTCTATGGGGCAGTTCTCTGTTCTATAGGGTCGCTATGAGTCGGAATCGACTCAACAGCATAGGGTATACTCAATTTCGGATTTAAAAGATAAAATATAATTTGTGATCAGTAAATCCAAAGTGATAATTGAATAAACAACAATAAAAAAATCACTAGAAGAAATTTATAAATCCATACCTGAAGATTCTTTTCCAATTTGACAACTTTGCAAGTGTTAGGGTTTGGTTTCTTTTTAGTAAGTGTACATGTTTTGTTGGTTGAATTTATATCTTGTTTTTCAGGAGTCAAGTTGCACCTATTGTCATGTATTTCCAATAATGGTATCATTAATAAAGATGTTGTAAATATATTTTCTGACTAAGGGAGAGAAAAAAAAAAAGAGGAAAATAAAATAACTAATTCAAAAATGGAGACAAAGAGAGGGACTACTGAGTAAGTGGTAGTGGAAGCCCTGCTCTCTTCCCTCCAAGAAAGCTTTTGGCTCCTATGAAATTCTGGTAACGTAATGATATTAAGTATTTCGGAAGTGAATCCAAGATTAGCATTGAAATTTAAAGCTTTGAGAAATACCATTTTTTGACATCATACGTAAGAGATTGAACTCCTCTCAAAACACAACAAATATTTTTTAAAAAAGGCTGTAAATAAAATATTCTCTACAGTTGATAGTTTCTCTCTGAATTAGGCAGAATGCTACGAAAGGAAACACCACGAATCTCCAATGAACCGGTCACACAATGAATAAAAGACAAAAACTAGGACTTAAAGCAACCATTTTAATTAAAAAGAACTCTGTACAAACCTGCATATCTGAAATGTCTTCAGTTAATAGCTGGGTGTCTGGTTCTTCTTTTTCCCAATTATCTAAGACTAGTGATTTTCTGACTTTCTTTACAGAAGCCGTATGCTGGAACAAACAATTTACAATGGAAACATTACAGCAGAGTAAATTGGACAAGATGAGACTTTTATTAACCATAATACTAAAAGATCACCTCTTGTTTGCAGCTTTTGTAAGCAGGTTCATCTTCCTCTTTCAGGAATATGTCTGTTCCAGTTTCTTCTTTTAAAACTTCCCGAATATCTTCTTCCAAGAAGGCAAGTGGCTGTGACTAAATTGTTTTTAAATAATTTTATTTAAAATCTTTTGTAGCAATCTCTCTTTCTCCCCACATATAGCAAACCCTTCTTTTATACTTTTCCATTATTGACATAATTTTCTCCTAGTCCCTATAAATATACAAATCAAATTAAACTGTGTAATCAGTTTTATGCAAACAATATTGCATACTGAAAGCATTGAATGAAGTGTTGCACCTTCTTCATTCTAAGCTACTTAACAAAAACCTTCCTGCTTCAACTACAATCTTCAGAATTAGTTAACAGAAAAGAAAGAATATTTCCCAAGCATTTTCATTTAAAAACGGGAGAAAAAGGGACTGTCAAACAAATTGGAAATGCACTAGTTCTTCTTATTCTACATTTACTGTACTTATTACAGAGCATGTAATTACTAGTTAACATGTTTCTCTTACCACTAAGATTGAAAGCGGTGACCATGACTTTCTCATCGTTGTACACCCAGCCTTAAGCTTAGAGCTCAGTGTTCAAGAAGGAAATGTATGTGTGTGTGTGTGTGTGTGTGTGTGTGTGTGTGTGTGTTTGCACTTGAATGTGGGCTTAGTAACGAAATAGTCTCAAAATATTAGTCATCTAGCTTTCTATCAAATAGCTAAGCATACCTCATAACTCAGGATATTTTAAAAACTATATCAAACTTACACCTAAAATTAACCAAGAGCTGCTTAAAAAAAAAAAGGTAACCAAACCTCCACTAAATAACAAGAGCTACTGCATGGTATGCAGTAAAATTTAGCTTAACTGGCAGCACTTGATGACCAGCAGCTTATGTTTCCAGCCAGCAAAATCAGGGAGAACAGCATTCGTATATAACTGAGATTTCACAGCACTTACAAAAACTTTTAAAATGAAAACAGAATTTTAAAAGTACTCTAATCTAGTCCGAAAGACTAATTGTCCACAGCTACCAAGGCGTCCACCAGACTGAGTCCAGTACAGCTAGATGGTGCCCGGCTACCACCACTGACTGCTCTGACCAGGATCACAACAGAGGGTTCTGGACAGAGCTGGAGAAGGATGTAGAACATAATTCTAACTCACAAAAAAAGACCAGATTTACTGGCCTAAAGAAGACTGGAGAAACCCCGAGAGTATGGACCCCAGACACCCTTTTAGCTCAGTGGTGAAGTTACCTCCGAGGTTCACCGTTCAGCCTGGGAGTGGACAGCCCCGTAAAACCAAATGAGATTAACGGAGTACAGTAGTCCAGTGACAAGGGTCAGAAGGCAGAAGGGGACAAGGAAGCTGGTGATAGGGAACCCAAGGTTGAGTAAGGTTATTGTTGATGTGTTGTGAGATTGTTAACCATTGTCATAGGGCAACATTTGTAGTAACTGTTAAATGAGAAACTATTTTCTTCTGTAGGCCTTCATCTTAAGTGAGAATAACAGCACAATTGGAAGAGTGTAGTCAATGTCACTGAACTGTGCATGTAGAAATTTTTGAAATGGTGTATCTTCGGCTATGTGTATTTTCACCAAAAAAAAAAGGTTGAGAAGTTAGAGGGTTGACATGTTGTGGGGTTGTTAACCCATGTCATAAAACAATATGTGTACTACTGTTTGATGAGAAACTATTTGTTCTGTAAGCCTTCACCTGAAGTACAATTAAAAAAAAAAAAAAGTAATCTGGAGCCTGAAACATACCAGAGTTACGTTAGTGTTTCTGTGTATTTTTCCAAGAGCTTTTGTTTAAAGGCTCACTTTTCACCACAATAATAGATTGGGTGCTCTAAAAAGAATCTGCAGTCTGTTTCTCCCCCTATGAGAATACAAATGTCCTATGCCCCTAGAGTAGTGGCTAGGACAGAGATGAATTCATTCACTAACAAGAATCATTCTCTTAACTGTCCTAATGTGACAAAAGCAAACACCGCTGCACTGAATACTCTCCAGGTTTAATACTACCAAAGAAAATGGAGATTTATACTTTTAGGACTTAAGAGTTTTTAGTCTTTTGAGTAATTTTTAGTAAACAGTAGAAGGATCAATGTTTACTAAAAAGGCAACAGATATTTAAGATGTATCTGATTGAAATTCCAAAGCCAATCTCCAAAAAGTATACCTGATTTAAAGAAAGACATGTTAGAAAGCTAAGTGATTAGCACATAGTAGATGCTCAGTAAATAACTGAAAGAGGATGAATGGGAGAAATGAAAAATCGGCTTTCCACAAGACATGTACAAGTCTATAGATATTTTAGAAGTTTTAATTACTAAATAATTACCTTCCTTTTATCTCAAACTACTGATGAAAATTATCTGTTTGGCAACAGTCAAATTCTACCCAAACAGCTGTCAATACTGTTGGTACTAAATTTAAAATGCCAGAAGGCTAGGAAATAGATGGGGACTTTATTGTAGGCAGTTTGAAACCTATTCTTTCAGATACTCTTATTAAAATGAGAATTATTCTCCAAATTTATGTTGGCCAAGTGACCCTGAGGTAATGTGAAATTTTTAAATGCTGTCAAATCATTGTTTACTTGTGTAGCCTTCCATTAATCTGATATATCTGACACATTCACCATTACATCCCCAAGCCTAGCAGTGACTGGTACCTATTAGATAATCAGTATTTGCTGACTTAATGATAAATTAAAGAAATGAATAGCAAAGTATTAAAACAGATTAGTTAAGTCAATTAGATAATTCTATATGATAGAATACTATGCAAACATTAAAAATTATCACATAAATATATACAGGCATACCTCATTTTATTGTGCTTTGCTTTATTGCGCTTTGTAGCTATCATGTTCTTTACAAATTGACGGTTTGTGGCAACCCTGTGTCAAACAAGTCTATCGGCACCATTTTTCCAATAGCATGTGCTCCCTTCGTGTCTGTGCCACGTCGGTTATTCTCCCAATATTTCAGATTTTTTCATTATTATTATATCTGTTATTGTGATCTATGATCAGTGATATTTAATGTTACTATTGTAATTGTTTTGGGGCACCACAAACCGTGCCCATATAAGACAGTGAACTTAATCCATAAATATTGTGTGTGTTCTGGCCGTTCCCCATCTCTCTCCCTCTCCTCAGGCCTCCCTATTCCCTGAGACATAACAATATTGACATTAGGTCAATTAATAACCCTACAATGGCCTCTAAGTGTTCAAGGGAAAGGAAAAGTCACATGTCTCTCACTTTAAATCAAAAGCTAGAAATGATTAAGCTTAGTGAGGAAGGCGTGTCAAAAGCCGAGACAGACCAAAAGCTAGGCCTCTTGCACCAAACAGCCAAGTTGTGAGCGCAAAGGAAAAATTCTTGGAGGAAATTGAAAGTGCTACTCCAGTGAACACATGAACGATAAGAAGTGAAACAGCCCTATTGCTGATAGGCAGAAAGTTCTAGTGGTCTGGACAGATGATCAAACCAGCCACAACATTCCCTTCAGCCAAAGCCTAACCCAGAGCAAGGTCCTAACTCTGTTCAATTCTATGAAGGCTGAGAGAAGTGAAGAAGCTGCAGAAGAGAAGTCTGAAGCTAGCAGAGGTTGGTTCATGAGGTTTAAGGAAAGAAGCCATCTCCATAACATAAAGTACATGGTAAAGCAGCAAGTGCTGATGTAGAAGCTGCAGCAAGTTATCCAGAAGAT